AAAGTATTCAGAAGCGAAAAGATGTTCTTCACCGTTTATTAAAATGTTAACCCACACATCTTCAAATTCTTTTTGTCTTTCACTAGCAATTTGTTCAGCTTGAAATGTAGCATTCACAGCAATAAGTACACCACGGCCTGATTTTTACCTGATAATGATAAACCGTGGTCACATAGAAACACACTAAATTTACTACCAAAGACCTCTTCGCTTTTAAAATTGTCAGACCAATTAGTTTCTGTTCCAATTTTTATATCATCTGTGCAGCTGCTTATTTTATTTTAAATTTCATTTATTTTATACACACTACGCATACGGTTAAAATTTTGGCAATAGACTGTAGTTTCACTTAGAAAAGAGCTACTTGATAAACTAGCGACATGATCACTTTCCAAGTAACACAAATTCACAGAATTATGTTGAGTAAACTGCTATACAACCAAAACTAGTCATACAAAGGTTATATAAACTGTGACAGAATATGTGTGTTGCTTGGGTTACGTCGTGCTGGTCAGGGGGTGAAGTTGCTGCATACTGTCCGAAATCCCTCAAATTATGTGAGATGCCATGATCCTCGGGCTCAGCTGTGTTTTCATATTCTACCTCAGGTGAGTGCGTCAATTGCGCCGACACGATGAAGAGGAAGGATTCCCCGGAGCCATACCATGTGAATTCGGAAGACCGCTTACTGGGTACGGGTTTAGAGTTTCCCTTTCTTTCAAACTGTTTAACCGGTGGTCTATTAAATACATTTTTTGCTGCTGAAAGAAGCTCTCGATCAGGTGGAAGAAAACGGGGGTTCTGATGTGGAAATGATAGGAACTGTTGTGTTTGTTATTGCTGTTAATGTTATCCTGGTAATGTCGAATGATGCTCCGGTGGCCGAAAATGTTGCTGTGATTGGTACTGTAACCGTTGTCGGAATTCATGTTTCGATGATTACGAGGATCTAAACTGTTGTTGTGTATGTTGTTCGTTGCGTTAGAAGAAATTCGTGCTGTATTTTGTTTTCTTTGCCTTCTAGCTTTCCAGCATGTTTTTGTTGATTTAGCCGTCGTAATTTGCGCGCGTCGTAATCTGACCAGTCTACCTTCCAGACCCTCCTCGTACCCAAAAGACGCCACCCTGAGTCATCAACGTTTTGCTCATTGTTTAACTCTTCCAGCAAACTGGGGAGGGGGTCAGGCGATGGTGATATCACTTCGTATCGAGAGTCAGGCGTATTAAGTGTGACACAGTTAATTTGGGTTTCGATGTTGCCAATACCCACCGATAACGATTTCAGCTCTTCTAATACAATACCTAACCCTAGTATAGGGTTTTGTTGCATTTCAACAGTAGAGCACAGGTCAGAAGTTATATTGCTGATATTTTTCAGCTCTTCCTTGAGATATGTTAGGTCTTCGGAAATTCCTGATGTCATTATTTGCATTGCATTTGAAAAAAATTATTTTGAAGCTTTCATTGCTATGTCAAACAGCGGGGTAAGGTGATTTTTAATAGCACTAACGTTGTAAGTAGAACCACTGCTTCCAGTTGCCGTCAGCTGTTTTTTATATCGGCAAGTAAAGCATCGAGCCGGTCGACCGCTTCATGGACAATGGAATTGGATTATCAAAAGGTTATTGGTATTACATATACACTTTCAGGCTCGATAATATATTTTTCAAACTTGGCACGTTATTAGTTTAATATCGATATTTAATTTGTAAAAAATAATTGGACAGGTCTCACCTTATTCCGCCCATCCGTTGCCGTTGATTACTTCTTTTGGAATCCCTTGTACTTTCTCTCTCTAATGCTTCATATGTCTCCAATCAGAATCACTGATAGTGTCCCGAAAGTCACCCATGTTATTTCTGCTGAGTCCATTATATGTCCATTTCGGTGTAAGTCCATTATATGTTATATTTTAAAAAACATTTGTGAGTCTGTTGAAATTCAGCATAATCAAAATGTCCGATGTTCTTCAATGAATTTGAAACGTATTTAATAATTGGGTTCTTTAAGGGTATTAAGTCAATGCATATTCGTAATCTGCATTAAAAATGGAACCCAAACCCAAAATTTCATCAATTTTGGTACACTGGAACTATTTTAAATAAGAACGATTACAGTTGCAAAAATCACCTTATTAGCGCCCCTCGGTGTCACTTTGTATGGGAAGATTGTTAGTTCAGTGTCAAACAGTGAAGTTATTATTTTGCTTTAAATCTTGATTTAAAAATCGAGATGAAAGTGTGTAGGTTCGAAAAAAATATCGCTGTGCTCAGAAAACGAAGCTCTTTCAGATGATATATAAAAACCGATATATTTTTCAAAATTAAAGAACCCAATTGGTTTGATTCATAAAAAGCATGTCATTTAGCGAATGCCCTTAACTAAGTGAAAACCGTATATTATTTAGTTACCGAATCTGCTTCATTTCAGAGTATAGTTGTCTAATTTCATAAAATTGAGATGAAGCTTTAGAAATTTTGATTAAATGTAGCATCACCAATGATCTTCCTACGTCAATAATGCAATCGTATCTCGTAAACGACTTTGCAAATTTTAACATAGACAAATTTTCAACACTCCAGGCATGAAAGCATGGGAGTCTATGACGTAAATAGATCTCAAAAGTCAAGGGATAAATTCATGCTAATATTCTTCGATCATTTTCCGTTGGCATGGGTCAAGCACAGTTTTGCAGGTAAACATTAGGAAGAGTTACAAATCAATTTCATAAACTGATCATGCTCCGGGAAGTATGATTAGAAAACGCTCAGGGCTCATCAATGCTTAGTATTCACAGCAATCAGAAATTGATCGTAAATTGCCCCGCTAAAACAACGAGACGGACACGACGGTGACATACGGCGTGAACACACTGCCAACCCGTGGACGGGATTAAAGTTTATGGTCGATTGTATGCAAATTGGTCTCCTCGGTGTATACGCGGTGAACAATTCCTATGAAATATTTTGCTTCTTGCACCTTCCTCATATCGGAATATATGACTCTATTTATAGCAATATTTGACGAAGAAGGAAGTTTTCTTCGTGGTTGCAACAGCGCACATTGAACGCTCCGATATGTTGCTTGCCTGATTTATATGCTGAAGCTTCACGCAAGTGATAAAAAGTAGAACATCACACCGTATTGAATTAACTTCTTGGAACAAATTGACACCAATAAATTACTCAATACTCTAACCGAAAACGCCCATTTCTCAATACATCTTTCCTTAATTACTCGGTGTGGCATGTCTAATGCAAGCTGATCCCTGGCTACTGTCCAAATAAGCCTATCGCGACGACAGGTAGCATTTACCTAGTCACTTAAGTCCGTCAAGCCAGAGTAATCTAATCGCCCCCGGGTCACCACCACCACCCCCAGCCACCGAAACACTTCTTCACTTCCACGAATCCATAAGCCAACCAGCCCTAGTAGACTTGACCGTCCCAGTCAATCCGCACGGCAGTTGAAGAGACAGAGTGAAAAAGAGGATCGCTTTAAGTCCACCTTCGCTACCCCCTCGTCTGTATTTGGGACCGGAGGGGATGCTGAGAGCTGCGCGAATGGATGGTGTTTATGTAAATTAATGTTCTCGGTGATTTTGATTGACAGCCAGGCACCTCTGCATATCTCGGAGTCGTCTCCTAGGCTTAACGTGTGGTGGAGAGTAGTCAGGTACGCGGGAGCTCTCATCGTCACCTTGCATGTGGTGCAGGTTTCACGCCAGCTCTGCGCCAAAGCACCGACCGTCGTCGTCATCGTGGTCGTCGTTATGGGCTTCTTGAATCTGAGGGGTTGTACGGACGGCATCGTCGTGGATCGTGATCGTTTGGCATCAAACGAGATTTAAATTAGCCGATCGGATCGATGACGAGTGCTGGTCACCAAGTCATTAGTGGCGTTTAGCGCAAAAAGTAGAGCATGTGCGCATAACAAAATTTATCGTTTCGTAATTAGCTGAACCGGGACCTTGAGCGCATTCTGTCCGAGGTGACGAAATGCCTACCTCTCAGATTTGTCTTCTATAGATTGTTTATGAGGTAGCATCAATAAAGGACAGTTGCGGCAAAGTTTGAACATAAAGTAGTGGAGAATAATTTCGACATCGAACCAATGAAAATGGACACAATCATTTCGCCTCAGCTTGACCACCAACATTGCAAGTTTTATCACGGTTTCAAAGCATGCTGCAAGTCTAAATCATAGTCTGCAGAACCCCCATAAAATCGCAATTGCTACTTGGACATTGTCATCAGCATTGTAAGCCACTCGTTAGAAGGACATTCTTAAATACGCATTCAGAAATTATCTGAAGAACTTCTTTAATTTCTCTTATTTTTTTAAAATTAGGAAACAGTTGTATTCCAGTTTCAAGAAACTCAACCCACTGGAAAAAAAAAACTTAATATTTTCGGAAATTCATGACATCAACAAAAAATTAAGCAGTCGATAATTATCAAATTATTAAATCAAAAAAATAAACTCTGTTTTTTTTTTTTAATCTTCCACAAAATCTATGGTATTGACATTAAAATCCATTTCAACATATATCAACCGTTCAACGCCTACGGATAATTCTATGTCAACATGATATGCCAAATAATTCACAAATGGATTCCAAAACCACTTCCATATACGTTTTGCAATAGTCTGCTTCATTTTATCAGTATTCAAACGAATACGAGAATAGTCTCCATACAATGTAAATTTCTACATAAATGAAGCAGACCACTTCGAAACATCAATGGAGGTGGTTTTAAGATTCTGAAAACCATATGTGAAATACTTGGCATTTTATGTTGACATTGTCCATAGACGTTAAACCGTTGATAGATGACAAAATGATTTTTTTTTATTTTTATTGCATAGATTTTTTGGAAGATATATCATATGGTCAAATACTGTGAGCAAGCTTAAGCCTTACTTTAAAAAATATCTCTTGTCAAACGTTAATTCACCTCATTTATCATCCCGTTTTATTCATCTCTCTCGTTCTACAGTCACCAGAACTAGAATTTCGGCATGAGCTGATGGGGCGCATAAATAAATTGGAAAGTGATGTCGAGCTGGACGTGGTACCGATTAATCAGCATCATCCATCATCCAGCTCCCCGTTGCCCCAGTCGGCACTGTCCGGCTACGGACCCCAAGGCTACGACTACGGAAAGGAGTTCTTTTTCGGTAAGTATCACTCACGTTAGGATCCCCAAAAAAATGATAAATGCTCATGCGATTTGCTATATCTTAAAACGTCCCGAAAAGCAGGAAGCAAACACCGAGATGCACTATGCTCAGATGGCGATGATTCGTTCTTGCGACCTCCTCTGTGGGAGGACATCACCAGTTCGATTCAGAACATTGACCCCGAGAATGCCATCATGCTGGGTACGTTGAACGGTATACCGCAGGTCAAAACGGAAGCTGTCGATGATACGTTTCTGGAACCTCTTTCCTCACCACTGCTGAGCCCGCTGGAAATCAAAACCGAGAAGAGCCATTTAATTCAAAATAATAATAACAACAACAGCAACAACAACAACAACAACAGCATACACCAAAATCAGTTACTTAGCGATAGTAGTTGTAATAACAGTTCTAGTGTGAATAGTGCATTCCTATCAAATAGCGAATCTAATTACCTGCATCACTCGCACCCCCACCCGGCATCTCTTGCCACTAGTCAACATATCCATGCTCAGCAGCACAACCTGAACGGATACATGGGATGCACCAACGGAAGTGGAAGTATTCATGGGCTGGCCAATGTTCACCCAAACGGTCATCAAAACCATCAGCAACACACTCAAGGCCATCACATACAAGTGAACCAAAACAATAACTACTACCACTGGCCTTCTCACCAGCCAAACCATGGAGCGTCACAAATGTACCACCCAAAGTTCCATCCACCTACCCAAAGTTCAACCATCTGTACACCTATTTCGAGGCTAATGTACGTTCCACCACTAACTCCGCCGAACTCGGATCCCGGAAGTCCAGGAACCACACTTCAGGTAAGATCGGCAGTACAACTAAACCTTATCAGTTTCACTAAACATTATCCCCATCGACAGAATCCCCCTCGACGAACACCTCCGCCACCATACCACCCACAACAGATCGCATCCCTGTCGATCCACTTGGGTCCCAATGGTCAACAACCTACCCACCAGCATCATCATCCCCACGGGATACCACCCCAGCAAGTGTCTTCAGTGTCCATTGTTCCTGCCGGATCTCAACAGCACCCACCCTCCTCATCGGCACTGGTAACGGTGAATCCTAATAATCCAATAGCAATAGCTTCGATAGCAATTGGCAATAGCAGTTCCGGCCCAGCCGGAAACTCCCATAGTAGCAACAATAGCAACAACAACACCAACAATAACAGTAGTAGTGGTAATAGTGGTAACAGTTCCGGTAACGGGCGTAAGCGATCGCAGCACAGTATCAATAGTGTGCTCAGTAGTGTTGGTGTCGTGAAGCATATCGTAGGTCGGTATAATCGACGAAACAATCCGGAGCTGGAAAAGCGGCGGATACATCACTGTGATTTCATGGGTAAGTGCAATCGATTTTACTTTCTTGTTTACAACAAATGAATGAGAAATCACTCCATTAGTTACTGCCAGAGTTAGTCCAACAGATCATCACTATCAAACTGTACCAAGAGATCCGTAAATGTCACGAAAATATCCACGCAATGCTGTTCTGCCCATAAAGCACTAATTACCCCTGGTCAAAACAAACCATTTCGAACTGACTAATGATCGAACGTACATACACTGCTGTGGGACAAGATTGCTCGAAAAGGAGTTTTCACACCCCTCGTCTGCTTCAAACCACGCCAATCGACGCGCAGAATCTGGTTGTGCGGGTGATAATTATCGCTTTTCTCATTTTAAACAGTGACTTCTCTAATAGGTGACGGTACCACCACCGAGACCGTATGGAGCTTAATCGCTTCAACCATCGAGTCGTTTACGGTTTGGACAAACCTCGGCGGAGGTGCCGTTTCTAACAACATAATCAACGCTCAGAAATAGAGAGAGAGAGAACAACTGCTGTATGGATCGATGTCTTCATTTCAGGAGGTGTGCTTTTCTGAGCCACCGGCAGCAGTGAGATAATGCTGTCAGGCAGAAAAGCTGCGATTGATGGGTGAGATTTTCTCACATTCCTTGTAAGGGATGCTCTGTACCGTGGCTCGGGAGAAAATTACCTCCTAATATTAATTATCTCCCATCGGTAGATCACCGCCGACTGCCATCAGCGGAGACCAAGTGAGGGGAGGTAAATGGCAGATTAAGACAAAACGATCCCTGTTGGTAACATGACGGCCCGTGGTGTGTGAAATTGTACGAACGTTGATTACGGTCATTCAACGAGCTAGGGTACTATTTGCTTTATGTGTCATTTATGCAGCGTAACATTTTTCATTCGTTTTGCCGCATGATTTTCATACGTAGATCTTTGTACTGTTTGGTTTGGTTAAATTAAAATAAATCAAATTGTAAATTGCTTGATCTGCGCAGCAGCTTAAAGCCTTGCCAATTAAGAATCAGTACGCTTCTTTTTGCCCGGTACAGCGCTCCCATTGATATGTTCTGGAATCTTTTGAACAAAATTTGTTTACAATGTCTTTTTTTTAAATCCTGCGCAATAATTAAAAAAAAAGTTTATGTTTTCTTAAATTGTCACGCGATGAAGGACAAAAGATTAGAATTAATTTGCGCACAAGATACGAAAACCCGACATGGAAAGATCGAAGTAGGCCGCGCTGCAAAAATGACATGTTTTAGTTTTGCTGCGTCGTTTTTTCTCTTGCAAAAAAATAAAATAATTACAATTTTCATCTAGAAAAAGTTAAATTTGATCCCAGAAGTGGCATTATAAAGTGTTTCAAGCGATAATTATCGAATCCCACGTGTCCTTAGTGTTTGTCGTAGTGATAACTGATATGAGCTGAATGTAGAATCAAATCCTTCCTGTTCCGTGGTATGAGGTGCCGTTTTATTTATTTATGTTATGGTCAACAGGTAAAATATTCACCCCAGTGACAGTATACTTACTTACTAGACAAATTAACATAAAATACTCTTGAAATTGCGCTTATTTCTAAAACGGGAAACATTGAAGTCAAATACATTGTAGCAACTGTTAAAGATGCGACACATCCTCTGCATGGGCTCATTCCATCCGTAGTTGGTTCGTGAAAGGCGGTTGTTCAGGAAAACATGCGATCGTAGATTACGGCGGCGGGTATTGATGTCGATACTACTCAGCAGTGTAGAACAATCAACGTTTCCCTGAAGAAGATCACCGACGAAGCTCGCCAATGCTACGTTACGTCTCGCATCCAAAAGCTATAAGTTGATAAGCATACAACGACTTTCATAGCTAGGCAGATTTCTAGGGTCATTCCAGAGAAAATGCCTTAAAGCATACCGGATGAACTTCCGTTGAATAGCTTCAATACGCATGGTTTCATTTTGGTAGTATGGAGACTACACGACCGTCGAATACTCCAAAATAGGTCGCACCAACGAACAGTATAATGCTTTTGGGCAGTATAAATTTTTGAATTTTTCGGCGAAGCGGAATATGAACCCGAGTTCTGAGAAAGCTTTGGATACTACGTATGAAACATGATCCTTGAAGCTGAGCTTGGAGTCGATCAGTATTCCCAGATCCATGATAGTCGATTCACGTTTCAAAGTTATGCCCGTCAGGGTGTAGTCATGGTGAAGAAGAGAACGCTTACAGAGCATTTCGAGACCTTCAGTAACATGCAATTAATACGATACCACTCAGTGAAGATTTCCAATTGTTGCTGCAAGAAAATGGCATCACTAGGTTCTTTTATCACGAAGTAGAATTTCAAGTCGTCCGCATACGATAGTTTAAGGCATTTCAGGATGGTATTGACGTCATTCATGTACAACAGAAACAGAAATGGCCCAAGATGGCTACCTTGGGGAACGCCGGATGTCACGGGGAAGGATGAAGAAACATAGTCTCCAATCTTGACAGACATGTTTCGACCAGTCAGGTAGGAGTAGAGCCAAGTAAGCAGGCCATCGTGAACACCTATCCTGTCGTATTTAGCCAATGCAATGTCATGGTTCATTTTGTCAAATGCTGCGGAGAGGTCTGTGTAGATGGCATCTACTCAATAGCCACGTTCTACTTCATGAATGATGAACGATATGAACGTAACTAAATTGGTCGTCGTTGAACGCTTAGGCATGAAGCCATGCTGATCCGTCGAGATACAGTGTGCAAAACTTGGAACATTTTTTCGAGTATAATCATCTCAAAAATTTTGGAGTAGCACTTAACGAAGCTATTCCACGGTAGATTGAAACAGTCCTTTTGCAGCCTTTCTTGTGGATTGGGAACACGAAAGACTCTTTCCAGCAAGCTGGGAAAACCCCAGACGTCAAGGAGAGATTGAAAACGTTGGCTAGGGGTGTCGTGAGAGCAGTCAGGCAGCGTTTGAGGACTAACGACGCTACGCCATTTGGACCGGAACCCGTGGAAGTTTTTAGCTGCTTCCCGGATGAAATAACCATTTCGCTGGTGATAGAAAATGGATGGCTCGAGAAGGTTGAGGGAGAGACGTTACTAGACGCAGCAATTACATCCTGAGTGCTGAGTCGTTCGTCGTTGAAAACACTGATGAATTGTGTGCGAAACAAGTCGGCAATACCCACGATAGAGTCCACTTCCACTACGCCGTTCGTCATACTTGAGGGTCTCCGCTTTCCTTTTTTTGGGCATTCAAAAGTTCTTAGGATTTGATTTCAGACGACGCTGAAGCTGGTCTTGCCGTGCATGGTACAGTTGATTGTTAAAACGCTTGTAATCCGTGTTCGCTTTAGAATAACATGCTTTCGTGGAATCGGTTCGGTACACCCAACCGAAGGATGTAAGATTCGCTTACAATTGTGTGGGATTCATCATCAGAGGATGTTAGTGGAGACCGCATGAACCGAGGATGCGATATACCTAGCTGCGGTCCACTGCAAGAAAATTGGAGTCCGCAAAATGTAGAGTGTATTAGTGAGGTAAATAAGTTATGTCGAAAAAAATAGGAAACAGATTGCCGACTGGATTCGAACCACGAACGTTGCGATTTTCAGACATGTGCTTTCTCCACTGCTCTCTCCATGCTTATGAATATTTTTTTTCCCTTGATTTGTTTTCCGTCGATCTTGTTTTCCGTGCTGAGCTGGTGCATGCTACCGACGCCAGAGAGGCAACTCCCACACCTGGACCCTACCTATCGGCCCATCAACTCATGAATCGGGGACCAACGGCTTTACTTCCCTTCCGAAGGAAGGCGTGATCAGAGATTTTATGCCTCAGAAAATCCCGGCGGCGCCGACTGGGATTGAAGCCAGGCCTGCTGGGGTGAGAGGTAATCACGCTTACCACTACACCACCGGCGCCGCTATGCTTCTGAATATAGATAGTCTAAAAGCAAACATGAAGCGCTCATTTTCTCGCATACTCGACTTCGTATACTTTTTCTGCTGGAGAGATTCGATGCAAGTGTGTGCGTCGTTCTACAATGTTCTACAATGTGCGTCGTTCTACAAGCTTACTGGTATAGTCGAAAGCGTAGATAGAACACGACATAAAAAGACAAAAAAAAACCATTACATCGCTTGCATGGTCAATTTCTAACATTCGTTACGATGTTCATGAACAGAGAATGATAGGAAACGGAACTAACATTCACTGTAATAAATTTTTGGTCTACGTGTATTTGCTGTGCTTACGAAGAGCAGCCCTTTTAATTTGTTTCAATCGCTTAAGCTCTGAATTCGACCTGGCAGGTTTAACAGGTTCGCGACTGATTCGCTTAGGTACGAATTGATCGATTGCGTACAAAAGACTTTGAAATTACGATGAACGTTGAGCTTTATGCTCACCAGAAGAGGAGGATGATGTCTACAGTTTTTAACAAGCGCGGAGGGGGCCGATATGATGGAACAATCAGTGCACATATCCTCACTTACGAAACAGCAGAAAATCTTGACTATGCTGGGGGGATCAGGGCCTTCCGTGCAGGCTTGATGGAACCTCGCTCGCGAGTTTGAAATAAGCCGAGCGTAGCATTTTTCTGAGGAGTAGAATGCCTACTGCCAAATAATTCCACTGAGCTTCAGAGCTTGTGAGCGAAGGGGGATAAAATGAGAGTGAGGTTTGCTGCCATTCATGTTCATGTTTTCTATCACACGCTCTTACTCTCACTCTGGGTGAACTCTGAGTTTAATGCGTCGAACAAAAAAGTCATCCGGAGTATCGAAAAGCGCACCTCACGTCAAATCATCCTCTCGCTGAAGTTCACTCTCCCTCTCTCTCTCGAGGAGTTTTTGTTTACTTCTTCCATGTTCCTGCCGCCACTCACTCGAGGTGAGGGCTAGCTAAACTCGCAGGACAAGAGTGTTTTAAAACCTCCAGTGAGTTTGAGGAGTTTAAGCAAGCCTGCTTCCGTGATACCAGTAGTGTTGCGTCCCGGGGTTGAAGAGTAAGTGTAGTCATTGCTTCGC